GGGGCAGAGCATCGGGGAGGAGCAGAAGCAGAAACACGCGGCTGGTGAGGAAGAAAAGAAAGGAAAAAGAAAAAGAAAAAGCAATTCATCCTTATCTTAATTTCCTTTCTTTTTAGTCCCTCACTTCTAAAAATTTTACGATTAAGCCCCAAAACGATATTTTCCCTCAAATAAGTCCCCAATTTAATGCTAAAATACCCCAAAATTTTGGGATATTACACACATGATACTTAATTGACGGAAGGACCAAAACTGTGCAATTTTTAGAGTAAAGGGATCAAAAAAATGCAAAAAATTGTTAAGGGACCAAAAATGTGCATTTTGTAAAGTTGAGGGACTAAATTTAGCATTTAACCATCCTCAAATAAGTCGATCATTGTGCATTAAATGCACCCTTACAGCCAACTACAAAGTTGGAGCCAACTTTTTGTCTTTTCCTCGCATGCGCCAAGCAACGGACCTTTAAATCTTTACCTGTAGAGCTGGCTACAGCTTTCAGAGCTGACTCTTTGCACTTCCATTTCACCAGAGCCAGCTGCAGCTTTCAAAAGCTGGCTCTCTACACATATTCAAGCCTTTTGGTCTTTTTTTAAGTTTACTTGCAATCTTTTAGCAATTTAACTACACACTTAATTAAACCAATTAGTCATTCAAATGTGTTTTGTAGTCATCAAAATCATAGATACAACACTAACAACTATATTTATACTTCTATGATTGAAAATAGTCATGTATAATCATTAGAGATCAATTTAACTACAAGAAAACATGTTGCAAAATTTTACTATTAAGCTAGCTATACCTTTAAAGTCAACTTTGAATAGTTAACTATCAATGTTAGAGCTAGGTATTTTAGATGAGCTAAACATTTTAAAGCTAGGTATTCTAGATGAGCTAAACATTTTATTTTTCTATTGAGCCAACTACAAAATCCAAAGTTGTGTTAGAAAATTTAAGTCCAAAAATTAAAAAAAATAAAAAAAAATTCAAAACTATTGATTGTTAGGCATTAAATGTTCCATCACAACTAGTTGTAGAATCAAAGTCTACTTTGCATTCGTTTCTCACACATGCTAAATCGCAGTTTGAACTTTGGAATGGTAAAGTCGACTACAATATTCAAAGCCAGCTCTCTTCATTTTTCCACACCAAAGCTGGGTATAGGTCTTAATCAATTATCTACATCATGTTACATTTTTGGTCTTCTTTCAATGCAGTCAAATTCCATTCACTTCTTTATCTTTCAATGCATAAACTGCACACTTAGGTAAGCACATTCATATGGAAATCAAAAGTACAACATTGTGAAATTTCACTACTTGTAACATTTTCCTTTGGTGCTCATGTAATATTTAAAGTGACTGCACCTTTTAATTAATTCTTTATTTTCTTTTCTAGACAACTTTTGATTCTAACATTAGTCAATCTTTTTTTCTTAACACATGGAGGATCAAAAACCATTTGGCTCCTATCTACAATATCGTTGTGGTAGCTACTTCAATTAAGATTTATCTTAAGTCTTTCTCAGTCAATTCCAAAGCTTCCATTAATTTCATCTGCACAATATTTGTTCCTTCAACAATGAATGAACTTTTATCAAAAACATTATGATCAAGATGATTCAAATCATTAAATCATAAAAGGTGAACAAACTTTTTAGATATTTGATGTGAATTGATTGGATTAGAATTGATCGGATTAGAATTGATCTACTTTCTTGCATTCTATGTCCATCTACTAAAGATATATTGAGCAGGGATGCCATTCACATGATTGAGAATAAGAACCTTTAAAGCATGGCGACAAGAACCCCAATGTCTTAAACAATTTGCAACTAAAAAAATACTCATATCAAATTTGACAAACTTCATTTTTAAGATTCTTTTGAAACTTGGCTTGTCAAGTTCATATAAGAATCTTGTTTCATATTTTTTTACCTTAATGCAATTCAATCCTAAACCCTTAAAGAATTCTTCTTTAAATATTTGAACCACTCTCATTGTGTGAATAGTTGTAGCATGTCTTAATATTCCTCCATGGTTGATCAAATTAGCAAATGAACCATTTGTTCAATGAAAGGCTTCATCACTCTCCCCTTGACGCATTTCTTTTGCCTTTTGCTCGTAATATTCAATAACTTGAATTAGAGTTAATGATGTACCCAAAATTTGATGAGAAGCACTATTTACACTCACACTTCTTTGAGTAGATTTCATTCCAATTGAAAAAAATAATAATTACATTTAATGCAATACACCATTTCCCTTGACTTTGGTATAATCAACAAATAAACAATTATAACTTAATCAAGATGTGATATTTCACCAACTTTAATAGCAAATATGTTGTGACTATTTTTGTAAAAATAGGAAAGATATTAATTAAATAATGTTATCATCCAAAAAAATATCATAAACAAATTAACAAAGCATGGAAATCATTAAAAAAAAAAAAAAAAGAAAGACGAATACATTAGAGAGCGAAAATGATTGTGTAAAGTAGACATGTAAGTTAAAGACTAAAAACTCCAAACCTTTTAATCTACACATTATCCTCAAGATTGAAAGTCTTGATCATATCAATCCAAGTAAATTGAAATTCTATTTCATCTAGACAATCGCAAAAACATTTATGAAATTTTGCATTGAAGTCAGTATTTCCATAAATTAAGTAGTTGTAACAATCTTTTATGCTAAATCCAACATTCTTTTTGCTAGCTACTTTATTTGCTAGAGAGTAATGTGATTTTGTTGGTCTTTTATTTGCACCTATGATTGACTTTATCACTCCAGCGTGTGCCTCCAATAACTTCCAACCAAATCTTAAATTGTGTTTTTCTTTCTAATTTACAAACTCTTGGTTATGTTGATCATTAAAGCTATTG